TTTTCAACTCAGATCTTCCTTAAATAAATCCATAATATATTGCACACAGTTTTTGAAGCAATAGCATATCCCTTTTATAGATGTATCTAAAACTTTTATTTTTAGTCCAAATATTGAACTAATTATGATTAAACAATTAAAAGAAGAATATGCAAAATTTAGCTAAGGAAAGAAACATTAATAAATTTGTTAAAATATTTGTAACTTTAACATCATACATATTAATCCGCAAAACTCACAGTATGTATTTTATGGTATTTTAAAGTAAGCAAACAAGAATTTGGAACATGGTTTTAATGGAATGAAATGAGAATAAGAATTACGAGACGGGATGGCAGGAGAACATAAATTAAAAATCAAACTTAATACTCAACTGGTATGAGTTTGTGTTATGAGCACTATATAAAATAAATTTGTTTACACACATAACCTTATACGTACGTTTTTAGTTACAATTTATGACAGATACGGGACCGTAATATTTTTATTTCACGTATACGAGACGGGTTATGGGACGAAAAATTTATGATATATACAAGACGGGATAGATTTCCTGTTCCAAAATAGTTACGCCTAGCTAATATACATGAAATAATCCAAACTAAACCGAATATGTATCCTATTTAACACATGTAATCAAACTGTTAGAAATGTTTTGAATAGTTTAGAAAATAAAAACGTAACATCACTTAACTTTTGCAACTAAATAATATCTTAATTTTATATTAAATACAATTTCACACGTACGTGTAGGTCCGAATCTTAAAATATAACTATGCACTAACGCAACTAAATTTCGTTCATTACTCTAACTTTATAATATCTATATTATTACAAAGTTCACTAACACAACAAAATATTTTATATTTTTAAAATCTATATAACAATTTCTAAAAAAAATATCTCTGCACGTACATGTGGATCTAGATCTAATACACTAAAATATACATCATAAAAACAATAAAATAATCTATATTATATGAAAATTTGTAAGAAATGTTTTTGAAATATGAAACCCCGCACGTACGTGCGGGTCAGGATCTAGTATATATATATATGCAATGCTATAAAATCTGTCTTCATCATAAAATAGAAATCATGAAAATGTAACTCTTTCGGTCTTTCTACTCTATTCTTTTTTTAACGAAGTTATCACTTGTGAAAAATGTTAGAATACATATATGTACGTACTTTACAGAACGAAATATATTTTAAATGATTTTTCAAACCAAAAAAAAAAATTTTAACGGACAATCTCTGGTAAATGAGCAGAATAATTGTTATATTGATTTTTGGTACGCATAATTATCACAACCACCTTATCTTTCTCTATGTTATGATTTCTTTTTTTATTTTATGGGGTCACTTACGTAAATAAGTGGAACCTTGCATTGCATCCATTATTTTATTTTGTCTGATTCTATTTCAAGATAAAAGTTTACCATACATGATTAATGGCTGTTTGTCCAAAAAAAAAAAAAAAAACATGATTAATGGCTGTAATCAAGTCGAAACTAACTCATTACAAAGTACCTCGGTTTTGAACTTTTAATTTATAGATAATTGATTATATGTGGGGTTTTAAACAAATTTTAATTTTAACTTATTTGTTGTTAATGTTTGAGCATATAAAAATCTATTGAAATATAATGGATTAACTAGATTTTAATCCGCGGTACACCGCGGGATGATTTAATTTTAAAGTTAGTATAAAAATATTTTGTAAATTGTATCTCCTTATAACATATTTATTTATATTATAGTTTACAATTGTTATTAAGTAACGGTATACCACGAGTCCACGAGATAATTATTAATAAACTGAGGATTTAACCCGTATTAATGCGGTATATAAATATTGATTCAAATTCGTCTGCCATATAAATCATTTCCGAAATATAACCCGTTCCGTAATTTTTTAACCCGTCCTGTGATTTGTATTAAAAAAAATAAGGATTAAATCCGTATTGAAGCGGCATAAATAATGATATTTTAATCTTTTTATTATTGTTGATTCAAAAACCCGTCCCGCCAAACCCATCCCGCCAAAAAACTCATTTATTTTATTAATGTTCTTATTTATGATATGATTCTGAATCATTGTCTAAATATTTTAATCGATGTAGAACGTTGAACACACATTTTCGTCAATTGCGTAATATATGTCCGTTTTTTAAATTTCGAATCACAGTATATGCAGAAAAAAAATTGATTTTTTTTTTACTTTATGTATTATATGATGATTCAAAACAGTTAAAAACAAATCAAACAAAGATGATAGGAGAATCATAATTATAAATTTTAATCAAATCTTCGAAAAATCTAAATTATTAAATATGGAATATCCGGTGTATGAGTTGGGTTAAATATAACCCGACCCAACAAATTTTTTGTGAAGGAATTTTTAAAATGGGTCGGATATCCGATATATTCAAAAACTTTTTTACCCATCCGTCACAAAAAGTACTGCAATTATACTAATATAGATAATATTCGACACGTGCCAACTACACTAGTACACTATCTTAAAACAAAACAAAAAAATAGCTAAGACAAAAGATGACGAATACCACCAATAGATATGACGAAAAGGCAAACCAAACTAATTATGTAATCAATCTAAAGTTTGATATAGTAGTATTTAACATGGTTTTTCTTTTCTTAAATTATAAATAATAAAGTCTCATACATCCATATCACATAGAGTCATACAGTAATAGCATCTTCAACAATGAAAAACCATAGAAGTTTTTCAAATATAATAATTTAATGTTTTTGTAGTAAATAAATTATTTATTTAAATTTTAATTAATTAAAAAAAATTTTAATTTTATCAAATGAGACACAGTGTCTCATTCTCTCTCTTACTTTTAATTATTTTTTCTTTTTTAATTATTTAGACATCCTATGAAAAACTTCTGTTGGAGATGCTCTAAGAAGATAATGATAGAGAAATAACTTAGCTTACAAAGTTTGTAAAACCAAAAAACCGAATCTTCCGCTTCGATTTACTTTGATAAAATTTTAGAGGGAGACAACTAGCCACGCCCACCTTAATTCCCATGGTTTTTGTTTTGCTATGTATGTATACTTTGAAAAAGAAACCGAAATCAAATTTGAACCAAGTGGAAGCCATATATATCTGCGACGGACAAAAGATGAAAAAACTTACCCAACCATAATTTATAGAGCAACAACGAGTCAATGGTATATCATGAGCATGAAATCAGTGCCGTGCTAAGGCTAATCGTAGTTTAGGGCGAATAAAAAATGTGGCCTTTATTATTAAAAAAATCAAAATAACGAAAATATATATTGTTTCAAATCATATACAGTAGTGATAAGATGAAAGAAAAGAAAATTTCTAAACCACTATTTTTCTATCCTTTTTCCTAAAAAATCATTCAATAAACTCAACTAATTTTGTTTTTAATCTTTTTATTTTTAATGGTTGATTGATAATTATTTGAAGAAGGAATACTCAAAATCAATTTCCTTTTTTTTCTTTCAAATTATCCTTTTTTTTAAATATGCAGATGATTCCAAAACAGATTTTCTTTATTCTTAGTTATCTTTTATTAAAATTATCTTCCATTAGTGCTATATTTATAAACTAAAGTCTAAAGCATGTACAGAAATTTCCTAATACATAACGTATACATATTAATATTATTCTAGTGTCATGGGCTTCTCAAACAAATACCCACTATACAACTTAAATACATAAGCCTAAAAAAAAAAATGTGGCCTACAAAATTCAAAAAATTTTTGTGGCTTTGGGCAAATGCCCTTTCCTCTTCCCATTAAGCACGGCACTGCATGAAATATCTTGTTTATTCAAGTTTAATGCATTGGTAGTAAATTTAATTTATTATACATATGACTATTAGAATATTTTTAACCTAGCTATGTTTAAATATCATGAGCATGAAAAGTAAAAGTAAAACATCTTCACTCTTTTTTTACCAAAAAAATATCTTCAAACTAAAATGCATCAATAATACGTAATATATGTGTGTAGATAATTGTTTATGAAGAAACGTTATATATATATGCATTACTGTGTACTAAAAATAGGTTATAAATTACTTACAAGTACACTAATGCTGTTAAACCGTTTACTCTCGTTTTTCTAGAACACATAAATACATAATAAACCGTTTAGAGTGTCTATAATCTATAGCCTACTATCTAAGTGACTGTTCTTCATAACCTAGCTGTCTACGAAAATATCAAAACCGAAATGCGTAGAACTGCCAAATCAGTTGTCTCTTCTGTTATTAGTACTGGCCTAAAAAATAGTCCAGAATAAATTTGATATACACGTAATGCATGTAGGTGGATGTATGAATTAAATAGGAGGAGCTTCGCCTTATATTTTTCGAACTAACTTTGTCTTCATTTCTCTATCGAATTAAAGAAAAATCTCAGTACGAGACAATGGACCACGAACGCATCTCCTATACATTAATACGACTCAACTGTACATCCAACGGTCGACACTCGTCCACCTTTACACCTCCTCTTTTGTATCCTACACGTTTTTTATATCATCTTCCAAACAACATTAATAGTGACAACGGTTTATTAATCTTTTTCTTTAGTAAACTTTTCTTACATGGATATTGTAGCTACCACTGGAGTTCACTTGATTTCTAGGTTCAATCAATTGTAGAAAGAAGTTATGATCTTTCGTTATGAGGAGTAATACGTTATTACTTTTCTTGTCAAAAATATATCCTCTTTAAATCACCATTGGTGTAGATATTAGTAATAACATTTAAGTCGTATACACATATATTGATGAACAGTATATCGCCCCCACTCATTTATTATCTAACCATTTCTTGGCCCTCTACAATTATTTTCGAGTATCTTATATATATGCCATATGCATCCATGTGAAATTTACAATACAAAAAAAAAAATCCGAAAATAATACAGATACAACAAAAAATTAAGAAAAACAGATTAATAAGCACATGACATGTGCTTACACACTCCATGCAAAAAAAGAGATCCTTTAATTCTTCCGCAAACTTCTCTTACACTACCAAAGCATAACTTTTCCAAAAATAGATGCGCCTTTGTCTCTCTTTTTCATATCTGCAGAAGCTTCGTCGTCTTCGGATCTAGCATTTTCTTTTTTTCTCTTCTCCATTTTCGATAGTTAATCCGGATAAAAACCTGTCTCAACGACATATCCAGAGAGGGAAGTTTTAGTTACAGAAGTATATTAAATGAAGACAATGTCAGGAAGATCAGAAGACGACACTAATGGAGTCATATCTTCAAAGATAATCGTAAAGGAGAGCTCTCAGGTCAATTCATCGTCAAGAATCTATTACTACGGCGGAGCATCCGTGCCGTTTTTATGGGAGACACAACCAGGGACACCAAAACACTCTCTTTTCTCTGAATCCTTTCGTGTTCCTCCGTTAACGCCACCTCCGTCGTATTACTCATCATCTTCCTCCTCCGGAAACCATATGAGTAAAGCGAGAACGAAACAAACTAGATTCGTGAAGACTCTGTTGTCACGTCACGTGTCGCGTCCTTCGTTTTCTTGGTCGTCTACGTCTTCATCTTCTTCCTCTTCGTATTCTTCCTCGTCTCCTCCATCTAAAGCAGAGCATCGTCCGAGAAAATGTTATTCTTGTTCGAGATCGTACGTTAAGGAAGACGACGAGGAAGAGATTGGGTCGTCGTCTCCGACTTCGACGTTGTGTTATAAAAGAGGGTTTAGTTCATCTATGGGAAGTATGAAAAGAGCTTTGTGTTCTGTTCTTAGCCATGGATCTAGTCGTAAAGATCTTAGATTGATGTAATGGTTTCTCCATGTTGTTCTTATTTTGATTGTTGTTATGAAAGAATAGGATCTTGTGTATAAGATCCATTTTTTCTTTTTCTTTTTTTTGAACTGTTTTGGCTTTTGCCTCTTTGAACACATATATTAGTGTTTGATTGTGTTCAACTGTTGAAAAAAAGTTTATTATGTTTTGATTATGTTTCTGTTGCTCACTCTTGTGATTTTGTGAATTTTAATGTTTCGAATTAATTTGTGAAATTTGAATGGATCTTTCGGTACGCTTAAAGTATTGATCGATAGTGAAATTATTTTATTAATTATTCAATTTTAATTAGTCAACGAGACAACGACATACTTTATCTAAACTCTACACGAAAAAATGTGGCGATTTAACTGACCATGTGCCAGCATTTATGGGCTCTATTCATTATTTTTTTGTCTTGTTTATTCGTGTTATTTCACTTTCTAGATTAAAGCTGAATTTAAAAAAAAATAAGAAAACGTTTTCGTTCTGATCTCAGTTTAAATCGTAAGTGGGTAAGAAGCTTAAATACAAGTTTCAGTAAACTAACCAGAATGTTTACCATCAAACTCAGTCATTAAATAGAAAGGAAAATAAAAACGGGTAGGTGTTATAGATGTTCAAGAAAGTTGTGCAGGTATGACATTTAATAACTGTTAAGTAAATTTCCTTAAAGAATATTTTCCTTAGAATATGCAACTTTTTGGAAGTAAATTTTCTCTTTGTATATAATAATAAGCCAAAATTTTTTTTTTTGTCCTAAGGCTCTCAAATATATTGAGCCGGGGCTGGAACCAGGGCCTGTTCTTTTGCCATAAAAAAGACAAAGAAGGTTCGGATGTACGAAAACTATTTGGGACAAGGATCTTCGAAATAAGGAATTCACTGTATGTTTCGATACCGCTAAACCCTAGTTCGATCAACAAAATAATAACTAAAACACTTATATTTGTGAAGCAAGGAATAACGGCCAAGCAAAAAGTCCCAAGAGATAGGGTTGGGAAAGAGTTTTAAACGTTTTTTCTTTTCTTTTACAAAAAAGCCTGTTAAAAAACTAAGTAGTCTCATTGTTGTCATCCGGAAGAATTAAGTTGCATTCCTAAAACCATGGTTTAAATTCTAAACTTTGTTTGGGAGGGGTTTCACCGTTTCAGCTCGATAAAGAGATATATATAGGCGGCTCTTATCTAGAACTCGCTTTCAAAGCTTGAAGCTTCTAATTGTTTTGTGGAAAAAAATTATTTCCAAAATAAGCTGTTAATATATAAATATATTTATAACTCAATTTACTTTTTTTTTTTTCAATTTCCAATTTCGAAATGGACAATTAAATTCTAAAGATATTTTTATTTTTTATTTATCATCAAGTAATATTTTTTGCTAACTCAAACTTAACACCATAAGATTTTAATATAAAATACAAAGACGAAGAGAGAACAACGGGGCGACGATTTAGGCTCCAAATACGGGTCAAACAAGAATGTATACAAGTGCAAAGCTTTCTTAGAGTCTAAGCAATCTTCTTCTTTGTATTCGATTTTAATTTGACATACTAATTGTTCTAATAATGTATAAAATAACTACGAGAATATATCACCCTCTTTTTTTTCACCACACACTTTGATATACCAGTATACCACCGCTATGCACTTGCATTCTTGCTCACATCCGAATTGTAAGATTTATTTTTCTAAATAAAGGGAAAGAAAGAAGAGATGTTGATAGTTCGTGTGTTCTTGGCTCATGTTTCGAGTAGGGCTATAACGAAGAGGACAATTGGTTTACGCTTTAAAAGACTATTTTGGTACTATCTGCAAACAAGGACCAAGAGACAGTATATATATGGTCCTAAAATTATTAGCTGGATAACAGTAAAAATAAATGAGAAAATTAGCATTGGTATCATATTTTATCAAAAAGTTAGCACCAATACTATATTCAAGGTTCAATTATCATTCATACCACATTGTGCTTGTAAAATGATCATTTTATCCTTTAACTGGTGAGATAAGGAACTGCGATTGATGTGACCCTCCGAAATTTCTGCCGTCTTTTGTCTCTCTCTTAACGCATTGGTAACCGTCTTCGTCCCTCTGGCTGGTAAAACAAAATTGTCCCTCACTAAATCCAGATCTTCGTCTTCAGCCCTTTGGCTCAATAAAATAAAGATCAAGTTGTCTCCGAGTAAATTCAGATCTCTGGTTGGTAAAACCACATCATCTAGCGATGGACAATCAAGAGAAGTTGTCCCCGAGTAAATCCAGATCTCTGGCTGGTAAATCCACAACATCTAGCGATGGACAATCAAGAGATTGAGACTTATTCTTGAGGGACATCATTCACTCTATTTCATAATTATTGTCTATGGTAAATGTAAACTGCATTTAATGCAATGTTTTGTCCTTCTTCTCTGACACAAAGTTTTCCTTCTGACAAAGTTGTCATTCTCTGACACAAAGTTGTCCTTCTCTGACACAAAGTTGTCCCGTTTCCCTATCGGCGTTTGCTGTAGCTCCTTCCTCTGACACATTTCTGACGCAGACAGAAGGGTAAAATCGTCCAAACTCTACTACACTACCACACACAAGTGGTACAACTGCTAAATTGATTTCCATTGTAGTATATTTGTTAGAGATTTTGAAAATTGTGGTACATTTGCTAAAAATCCCTAAATAAATTCTATTTTTATTCATTAGATATGGTATTTGTTGATTTTTTTGGTTTATTTTATTCTTTGACGAAGATTCTTTGCATCTTCCTTCTCCTATTTATGAATTATCGATACATAGAACATATACAAAATAATACCTAACTATACATGCATACGTACAATTATAGTCGATTCGTACACAAATATAATAATTAAATATTATTATGTGTAACTCATTTTCAAAATAACAACTCATATATATGTATAAAATGAACAAATTTAAAATGAGTCCTTATATACAAGAGATGATGAGGTTTCTTGATTTTGACAAGAAACTAACATGTCAAAATCACCAAACTATCATTCTCATTCACTCTTTTTTTTTTTTTTTTTTTTTTTTTTTGTTGAAGAGAAGTACATGATCTAACAATATCTTCTCTAAATCCTTCACCAACTTTTTACTATAATAAACCTTAAAAACTATTTAGCTATAGTAAACTACTCATCGGGCGGTCCATTCGTGTGCAACGACTTAGATTTATATGAGTTCCAAACAATATGATCTGTAAAATTGGAATCATATAAAGTTGAAATTTAATTAATTACACCCTACTTAAGAAAAAGAAAAAAGGAAGTGTGCTATTAATGTGAAGCAAAAGTCCACATGCGGCTATGGGAAAACAAATACATTAAAAGTAGGCATTAAAACCCACACAGCTCTGATCTAGTGGTAGTTGAGAATTGGGGAAAAGTTTGAAGGAACTAACTCAGATTCGATCCATGCTGGAAACAAAAAACACATATGTGTGGAAAGTCTGGGAATCCAGTAACAGGCGATCTGGCTACTCTTGGCATTAGTCGGAAAACATTCAAAACTCGGGACAGACAGTGTGGTGGTCCTTCGGGGAGAAGTCCACTATGAAGCACTTCGGTACGCGGATCAGCGATAAGGTTTATAAAAAAAAAAAAAAAAAAAAGTAGGCATTAAGCACGAAATCCATCTGTTGTTGCCTGACCGATGAATGAATGACTACATTATAAGTACGTATTTTTACGTGTGATCAGATTCGTAAAGTCAAACGTTAAAATTTTTAAAAAACCTCACGGGTCACGTGCTCAAGCAGTGAATACAGCTCTTCAGTCTTTACTAACTAGATATCTTCAGTTGTTTTCATGTTAAAAGAGAGACTATTCTGGCTCTCAAGCTACCAAATCCTCTTTCATCTCCATTAGAAAGTTCTATTATATACACATCGTGATCACTAAATCTTACACTTGGTATTTTACTTGCCTTTAAAGCCTTCCTTGGCTATCTTCCTTCACACCCTCTTTAAAGAGTCACTTGACTTTAATATTTCTCCTTTTCTCTTTATTTTTATATTTTTTTCCTTCTTTGCGATTCTCTGAGAGCATGCCTGAATGTCAAGAGAAAGGTAAGAAGTGAACATCTCATTAGTGAAACCCTTTTTCTCTTTACAATGATTTAGATTTTATTCCCTCAACTGGTGGATATGGTTGATTTTTACCTTTTAGTCCTATATATATTCATGCTATTATTGAAAACTAAAGCTCTTCTTCGAGTTCTCGTGTTCAGGGAGAGATTTGAAGAGATAGGGAAGAAGATCAAAAGAGAAGCAGATGCTTGACCTCATCAGATGGCAGGAATTAGAAGACCAATGTCGGGTCCTCCCGGAACTCTCAACACCATTACACCTTGTGCTGCCTGCAAGCTTTTGCGCCGTAGATGTGCTCAAGAATGTCCCTTTTCTCCGTATTTCTCCCCACACGAGCCTCATAAGTTCGCATCCGTCCACAAAGTCTTTGGAGCTAGCAACGTCTCCAAGATGCTAATGGTAATAACCATTTCAAAACATATAATCTTACTTTTAACATGCATATATAATACACACTTGGAACCCTTTACACATGTAACAAATAACCAATTGATGGTAATCTAGTGGTCATCATCGCTCTCTTAGACGATGTAAGCAGAGATTAATTCTTATTAGATGCCTATAAATTTTCCGTTGTAAATAATTTAGATACTACTTAAAATTTCGAGAGATTACTCTGTATTTTGCTATGAAATCTTTAATCAACAGAATAATAATGATTTTAACACAATTCTCATAACGTGAAACAATTCCAAACTAATCAGGAAGTACCTGAGAGCCAGAGAGCAGACGCCGCAAATAGCCTTGTGTATGAAGCAAACGTGAGGCTAAGAGATCCGGTGTACGGATGCATGGGAGCAATCTCAGCTCTACAACAACAAGTCCAAGCTTTACAAGCCGAGCTCACGGCCGTAAGATCAGAGATTCTTAAGTACAAGCAACGAGAAGCTGTCGCCACTTTGATCGTACCTTCCAACTCCCAAGTCGCCGGATTTCACAACTCCGGTGGCGTCTCCGTGATTGCACCACCACCTCAAAGACCATCAACTCCACCACAACCTACGACGGCTCATCCTCCTCCTCCATCTTCTTGTATTTTATCTCAACCAACCACAAGAGCCTTAGAATACGGCGACATTGAAAGTGAGAACAACTCTTACTTCGGTTAAATTTTACTTGTCTCATTCTACAAATACATACAAATACATATAATTTATTTCGATAATTTGTGATCCGGTGACTAATTAAATTAAATAAACTTAAGGGACCAGGGTTGGTCTTGAATAGCCTGTCATTAGTCTATCGAATGTATATATTAATTTTGTTTAGTTGGTAAGTAGTACAGTATAATTTAGATGCAGATAACTGATGATTAAATGAGGTTGAAACATCGTTTTACTGATATACAAAGTAGAAGTCAGTTGGTCTAAATTTTTTTTATCTAACCTTGATGAAGTACATGCATGTATCATACTATCATGTATGATGCATTTTGAATTTTAGGTAGCTTAAATCAAATTAATGAGTCATACATACGATACGAAACTGAGTTTCCAATTTTTTTTGGTTATTCTAGAATCCAAGCAACATAATGTTACTTAGCTCTATAAAAAAGCTACTTGCACCAAATTTTGTGTGATAGCTAGCTGGCTTTGGATCTGCAGATACGTGTATAAAATATATAGTGTTTATTAGTTGGGTGAAGTGTCAGCTGTATATTTAAATTTATTTTCCGAGTTTCCTTAGCGTATCGAATTAATCAATCCAGCTTCTTTTGACCAGATTCATGCAAACAATGTTCGGTGGGGATGTGTTTTGCTTAAAAATGGTAAAATAAAATTAATGAGCAATAAGGAAGAGTTCTTTACTTTTTTTACTTCGTTAATTTTCCGTTGTACAAATATGAAAGCAGATAATTTGGCATGAAAAGTTCGTTTATACCCAACCGTAATATGTCACTTATGCAAACAATATTTTCCATTGCTTGCTTATTTGAGCTAGTTATTTAAAGGTGTTGACAAAAAAATAAAAATAATAATCAATTTGAAATTAAATATTTGACATAATTGTTAGTCCTTAATTTCATTAATTGGCCTACCAACAAGCAAATAAGGATATACAGTAATCTAATTTGGTTGCAAATCTGTCTGTAAAATGGAATTTAACACATACTGTATTTTGGACATCTTTTATCTTCATTTGTATGGTACTATCATTATTATTTGCCATCTCAGGTTTGTAACTTCAAATCTGGGTAAAAGAACCACGCTTTATTAGTTGAAAAACGTGAAATTAATACATTTACTTTTAACGTTCTCGCTAATTGTAAGTTTTCAACACATCCTTGTGTTGGAAATATTTCCCAGCCGGTTGAATTCATATCCCTAAAACAGTAAGCAAAAAGGTCGGACTCAAAAGTCAGATTCAAAAAAAATCAATCCCCTAAACCTAAATTGTAATTTGAAGACCATTGACTAGAGCTTTTGTGGTTGGAAATGCTTATCTAGGGTCAAAGATTATGATCCTTATAGGAGATGTGATGTTTTGGCCTTTGGGTTTGGTCCAATGTCACGGTTGCTTCATACTATGGTACTTAATGATCCCTTGTCTAGGTCATCCACAATGGGAGAACTATAAGGGCATCATCAATGGGGGATCATGTGAGGGTGTTCTTATAGAGAATATAATGTTAAAATAATGTAAGATCATGTGTTTAGATCTTTTGTTTAGAAGTTGATTAGTGGGAGAACATGTGTAAGATCTTAAGACTTAATAATATAATAATCTAAATTAAATTAGATTTTACAATTATTAAAACATTTAAAAATAACATATAAATTGCAAATGCCAAATTTATGAAAAACTGAAAATAAAAGTGAAAATACAATACTAAATATTTATGAAAAAAACATTAAAAATATAAATAACAATAAACAAACAAACATATTACTTAATAAAAGCACAAAAACATTTTATCTAATTAATACATAGTTTATTATCCAAATTTATTCCAAATATGTTGAATATTCCAACCAATGCCCAAATGCCACGTCACCCCGCAACACCCACAAGAACAGATCCAGGTCAAGAGCCCAGTTCCTGATCTTAAGCCCATTGACCCATTTTTTTGAATTTAAATAATGCTTAGATCAGGGGGGTGATCCCCCAATACAGATGGTCTAAGCATGGTCTTAGAATAAAAAAATTACAAAATAATAAAAAGAGGAGAGAACAGTTGAGAAACAGATCCTCGGCCAGATCTGTTCTTGAAACGATCTTAGAGACAGGTGTCTAATTCTGATTGGGTTCAAATTTGGCAAAGGAAAAAAGCCCCATTTCTCTTTTTCTTCCTCCTCCAAAATCTTCAATTTCACGGCAACAAGTGTCTAATCAACTTTTTAACAAAAAATCTTAACTACAGATCTTACATTTTTTTAACCATATTTTTACTCTAAGAACACCCAAAGGTGATCCCCATTGAAGATGCCCTAAGGGAACATACTATTCCACTCGATACTTATATTTTCAAAGTTAACTTGCTTGATAGATTTCTATCGTTTGTTGAAACTAAGACCAACATCATGTGAATTCTCCAACGTTCAAGTTTATGCGACCAATGGGAATCGATCTCTGGGTTTAATTAACAGGTAGAAACAAAACCACTAACTTGAGTAACAACTTGGTACTTCCAAATTTAAATAATTTGATGAGAATAATCACTAAAGTTTTTTTTTTTTTTTTTAACACACTAAAGTTTTATTCATCATGTTAATTAGAATATCACTACAAATTTTCTTGAAAACCATATATATACACATCTCTCATTGTTATATAATTAGATACTAAGAGGCGATGTCTCGAAGGCTTTTGCCTCCATTTGAACACTTCCTCCACTCAACTCTTTGGTCTCATCACTCTTGTAAACATACTTGGTCGCTGCCCACAAGAAAAATCCCATGTTCACTATCGAAATCACCATTAGAAACCCATAATAGTAATCAAGCCTCGAATCATTCAAATTATCCCCAATCCAACTCTTCCCTCCACCTCTACTCGTGATCTTATCAATCATTGTCACCAAGAAGCTGTTCAAGAAATTCCCAAGACCAATGCCACTCGTGAAAAACGTTGTTCCAAGGCTTTGCATCTCCTCAGGTGACTGATCATAGAAAAACTCAAGCAAACCAATCGCGTTAAACACATCCCCAATGCCTAGAAGAGAGTACTGAGGGAGCAACCAGAAAATGCTCATAGGTACAACTTGTTTCGGACTAGTTATGTGAAATTCCCTTATCACGTGCATCCTCTTGACCTCCACGGCCGAAGCAACCGCGATGGCAACAATTTGTATGGCAAACCCTATCCCTAGCCTTTGGAGTAGAGTGATCCCTCTAGGATTTCCGGTTTTCTTGCGCATGAAGGGAACAAAGTATTGGTCGTACATGGGCACAGAGAGAAGCATCGAGAGCGTAACAAAGCTTCCCAGTGAAGCCGCAGGGATCTGGAAGTTGGATCCGATTTTTCGGTCAAGCGTGGTCCCTTGTTTGACGAAAAGAGTGTTGACTTGTGCCCACAAGGTGCTTGGGATTAAAGTGACAAGCCATATAAAGATAAGTCCTAGCACACGCTTTGCCACTTCCACTTTCGTCACCGTACATGGTAATATTCTTGAACTTGTCTTAATGGCCGCTTTATCCAAGAACCTGTAATAGCAAAATCCATATTATTAATTTATTTAAATCTATCAATTCCATAGTCATTCAAAATAACTTTGTGTCTTGTCTTGTCCATGATAGTTTTCTAAATGTAGATGAGATGCAATAAACTTATTTTAGCTTTTAAATTGCCATGAAGGAATATGTCTTATCAGTTCCAAAAAAATGTTTGATACTTCATAAAGCTACGCACATAAAATTGTATCAATATTTTTGTTATATCTTTAGTTTTCTATAGTTGGTTGATTTTGTAATGTGAAATGATTTCGGCACGAAACTGTAGTGGGGTGATATTGGAGAACACATTAACGTGTAGAAGGTGAGAATTGGGGACCATCTACTAAGAGATTCTACAGAGCAGGTACACTAGATTAGATATATTAATAAAAAGAAAACAACATTGTATATATTCCACTTCATAACCCACCACCAGGCACTAGACATAAAAGGCATAATTTTGATAGAGTTTTTATCCAATGGTTCTATTGGCCTATGATTCTCTGTCAAGGAGTCAAACTACAATCATGCTCTCTTGGTTTTTCCTTTTCTATATACTTAATGGTGAGGACCAAAAAAGATTATCCGTTTATCTAGAATCAGAATTTGAGATAAGTTTTTTTTTTATGAGAAAATTATTAAAAGAAATAAATTCTTTAATGAGATGGTATGCAACACTGACCTGAAGACGGGAGTGTGATGAACTTGATGTTTACCATTGCTTTTGTAATAATGAGAGTCAAGCTCATAAAGCTCCATGAGGTCATCAGGACACTGAAGCTTTCGGTTTTTGAATGCCTCGATAGGAACTTGAACCAAATCTTTCGCCAAATTATCTGATTTGATAACCTTATGCCTGTAAAATGGTGTTCCGATATAGAACACAATAAGAGAAACCAAGAGTCCTACGGTAGGAATGCCATAACCTAAACCCCATCCGAGATTCTCTTGGATGTAGACGAGCCCTAATGTTGCAAATAACGCGCCCAAGAAAGAGCTAAACATCCACCAATTGAAGAATGAAACTTTTTGTTTCTTCTCTTCAATGCTATAGTTGTCGAATTGGTCCGCTCCAAATGTAGAAATGTTAGGTTTTGTTCCGCCGGCTCCAATAGCTATTGTATAGAGGGATACGTAGAAAAATGTTATTTGTAAGGAGGAGGCTTTGTTGCATACCCCGTTTTCGCATGTCGGTCTTAGGGATTTTACTGTTACCGCCATTGTTAAGAGAATCATCCCCTGCAAACAGAAGAAAGATCTTATATTATGCCAACATTTCATGAAATTAGATCATATTTATTTTTCCTGTGCATTTGCATTAACATTTACGTCTTACAACCTCTTCATGTTCATCATTTTGACTTGAGTAAACTTTTTACTGGTTTAAGAAAGTCATTTCTTGATTGAGATGTGATCTATCAAAAGTCATTGTTTTTTATTTTTCTATAGATACTGATAAGATATAAGATTTGTATCTGATTTGCTAAACCAATAAAATTAAAGTAAAGTGATAATCGTGGGTCCTCTTGAATATGTGTGGAAACCACGTTTGATACGTATCCATGTCTTAAGAATCAACATAAATCAAATCTCAAAAGTAAAATAATGGAGTTTTCGTTAACTGGTGCCTTCAACTTCTGACACGTAGACGACATTTTGGTCAACGTGTTCGACATTAAGCCTAATTAAATTCTAAAACTAATTGCGGTAGTTATAAGATACATATACACAAAACATACTCATACTACTAACAGTCATTGCTACTTGTCCTTTTATCTACGTATATGTAAATACAAAATTTGATGATCCATACATATTTTGTATTTTTCAGATACATATTTTTATATATGCAAAAAGGGAATAAATTGTCTGGTATTTTCTTGAAAAAGAGTATTTGTTTTCTATATATGGAAAATTCTGATCTTCTAGATGATATTCTCATATAATATATATCCACTTTAACAGAAACCACACAGTTGTCCTCAAATATTATAACCAGTGGAAAAAAATGCAAATAGTTTTTGTGGCAGTGTCTTCTTGGGATAAATGCTCACGGACCCTATCTGATCGTACGTCCAAAACGCGACAAACACATACATCTCTACTCCTTTATCATGACCAACCCAAAAAAATTGAGTAAATATATTCATTGGTAGGAAAAATCTGAAACATAGCATTCTTAAGAGACTTTGACAAAAAAAAAAAAAAAAAAAAAAGCATTCTTAAGAGAAAATATAACTGCGAAAAAAAAGAAAGAGAAAATATAACTAGAAAATGACGACTAAAACTTTAATAAGCTCAAGAAAAAAAAGAGGTCATTATGATAGACTCTGATCTTAATCTTAATATCTTATTACGTATAATTATATTTTTGTAGAATCTGCAACACCAGTTTAGATTTTTGAACTGTATTACAAAATTAATATATTTTGCTGAAAAAAGTAACTTTATTTATTTGATATTGTAAAACTTTAATTGTTTGGTTCATTTTTTCTAATTTCGATTCCTTTGAAAAGTTGTAAAACGTTTTATCTGGTTTCCTTAATTTAATTCGAATGTTAACCATAAAAAAATAAAAGAGAATATGTAGAAGTACCAGGACGTAGATGAGAGAGGAGGCAGTAAATGTCCAGAAGCGGCCGATGTATGAGTCGGCGATGTAAGCTCCGGCGATGGGAGTTATCCAAACCGCACCGGACCAATTATTAACATTTCTAACCGAAGAGATAGTGTCTTCGTGAAGTCTTGTGGTCAAATAGTTCACTAAGTTCGACGCTATTCCATAAAACGCCATCCTCTCAAACGCTTCATACCCTTCTCATACACACAAACACACAAAAGACTATATAAAGATTTAAGGGACAACAA